CCAGTTACCCTGATTCTTTATTGATAATTTAGATTAAAATAGTCAGGTGAGCTGTAGCATATTTGTTCATATATGCTTTGGATATATTGGATATAAAGGGAAACCTACTACTGTCTTTTTTTTTTCCCCCCAGGCCTGTCCTGGGGCTTAAAGTCAGAGCCTGGATGCTGTCCCTTAACTTTTCAGCTCAAAGCTAGTGCTCTGCCATTTGAACCACAGCTCCCCTTCTGGCTTTTTGGTGATTAATTGGAGATAAGAGTCTCATGAGCTCTTCTGCCCAAACTGGGCTTTGAACCAGGATCCTCAGACGTCATCCTCCTGAATAGCTAGGATTAAAGGCATGAGCAACCAATACCCAGCTTTGTTTATGGATTTTGTAAATTTTAATGTATTGAGTAATAGACTTGCTTTCTAAGGGTATAATGTTGGGCAAATGGCCACATCTGTAATATGATTCTGCCTCCTTTGCTTATTGAACTCAGAGCCTTGCGTAGGTAGGTAAGTAGCCTGCTGCTGAGCCTCCTGCATGATACAGGAACACTGGAGTTGGCTAGGTGAAAGCTGGCTGGTATGGAAGTGTCAGCTTTTCCACTTACAGCCAAGGCCCCAAGGAACTTGTGTCCTCTTCAGGTTGGTAGAAGACACAACTTCGCAGTGAGTCAGGCTTGAATCTGCCAGTCATTGTGTACATCAGTTCCTCACCTCGAACAGTTGAATACCTTGTAGACTGCTGTGTTCAAACGGAAGAATACAGTATAGCTCAAGGATTGAGTGTGTACTAGGTTCTCCATAAACGACAACCCTTACACTGTCAGCAATACAAAAGACAGAAGACCTCTCCTAGATCTCTAAACAAGAGGACTAGCCTTTGTCAAAACACTCAGCTAACCTATCATCCAATGTCATTTCAGTCATTGATAAGCTCAATCAACGTACTGTTACATGATCATGTAATAAACAATTCTAAGTTTTCAAATCTTTAAGAATTTAAGCAAGAGCTGGCACCAGTGGCTCACACCTGTCATCCTAGCCACTCAGTAGGCTGTGATCTGAGGATCGCGGTTCAAAGCCAGCCCAGGCAGGAAAGTCCATGACACTCTTATCTTGAATTCACCCAGAAAACGTGAAGTGGAGCTGTGGCTTAAAGTGGTAGAGCACTAGCCTTGAGCAAAAAACCTCAGGGACAGCACCTGAGTTCAAGACCCATGACCAAAAACAATAGCAAAGAGAATTTAAACAAGGGCTGGGACCACAGTGTTAGTGTGCCTGCCTAGCAAACACAGAAGTGATATACTTGAACATCAGCCTGATGATAAGTTCACCTATGAATGCTGACTACACTAGGTATAAAGAGAAGCCAGCTGGAATTTCTATTACAGTGAATGGCATAGAAAAAGTGAAAGGTGAGAAGGGATCCAAATGTGTCCACACCTAGGATTCCTCTGGGATTTGGTGCTCTGGCTGGGTGTTTTGTTTTGTTTTGCTTTGCTTTTTTAAACGTCGAGAGTCAAGCTTTGTTCATACTTGAATACTTTTGCATAAGTCATGCAATTTAACCCTAACCCACAGGACTGGAAATAAAATTAGCTCAGCCTGCAAAACAGAGACCGCAAGCAAGTAAGAACGTGACTCAAGGTGCAAACTCGCCCCTTTTCTAGCCAGCTCTGTCTCCCAGCTGGCTTTTGCCAGTTTCTTTCTTTCTTTTTTTTTTGAGGACCTCATGCTTGATTGTCAGAGTGTCAAAAAAATGAGCTACACTTCTCATTATGGGAAGAGCTTTGTCTTGTAAATCACTGTCTATGTATTATAAGATAAAGGAGGGGTCTGCAATTTTTTAATGCACTTATTAAATGTGTATCTTTGCCACTTGTAATCAGGACATAGCTAAGAAATTCAGGCATGAACATGGGGTTTAGTTTTGTTTTTGTGTGGTACAGAACAGGATTTACTAGTCGAGAATATCTGTCTAAACAAGCTCACCTCAGAATACTTACAGCGAGAGTTCACAGTTGTTCAATCCAAGCAGGCTTGGTAAATGTGCGTGGTGCATCTACTCATTACACAATGAGCAAATTTTTTATTTTATTTATTTGTTCGTTTATTTGCCAGTCCTGGGGTTTGAACTCGGGGCCTGGGCGCTGTCTCTGAGCCACAGAACCACTTGCAGCTTTTTCTGCATATGTTTCATGAGTGCTAGGCGAGCACTGTACCACTGAGCCACATTCCCAGCCCAAACAGTATATTTTGGAACACCACCGAAGATACCAATCTGTGGCTTTTTGGTTCATTTTGGTGAAGAGTGGACAGCAAACACCACAGGATAGGAGGTTTCAGCCCATCTGTCCTGGCCATCTGGTTTACAAGGACCAGGCCACATCTACCGCCTTTGGCTGAGGCTGATGCTGCTCCTTACCTCCAGGGAGCTGCGCGACATAGCTCTATGTGGTCACAGTTGATTCCATATTGTGTATTTTTAGGCTCAGTAATAATAATCTGCAAACGTTTAGCATAAACATTTAGCCTTCCCATGTCATTCACGGGAGTATCCTGACATACACCGAGGGTCACATGGCTGGGCGTTTGCTTCCCCCTCCCCCACTGGAAGGGCCCTGAGCCACGTATTAAATTGGTGCCCTGTCACTCAACGAGGAAGTCGTCTCTCTAACCCTCCTGTCTTGTGCTGAAGGAAGAACAGGCCTAAGGACGCGCTCTTTTAACTCCCCGTCGCTGCCAACGATAAGCCAGAGCTTACAGAGAAAAGACTTGGGGGTGGGGAAGATGGCTCCACTGGTGGGGTTGGAACAGGAACCACTGTTCGTATCAGAGCCATGGAGCAGAGCCACCGTTATTTCACGAGTACTTGAGAGGGCTTGCTGAGGGTGAGGTGGGAGGTACTCACAGGCAGCCCAGCTCAGAGGGTCGCGCATGTGGACGCCAGCCCACACGGCTGGGCACTTTCCACACATCAGCTAAAAACTGCTTCTGTTCTAGGAAAAGAGAGAGATTTTAGACTAGAGAAGGATTCAATTGTGAAACCCAGTACCTAAGTTAAGATATTCAAATGTAGTTTTTGTTATTTCCAAAAATATTTCTGCGGGGGGGGGGGTGTGGTGGAGCGCTAAAATGCTTTTCTAACCTGATTGCTTTTAGCCAGTTCTTACAGAATACAGAGGTACTGGAAAACTAGCAACCCTAGAAAATAGTAGTTTATTTTTACATGTGTTAAAATGAATTAATATTAGCATATTTGTTGATGTAATAGGCAATTAAAGACTTTAGGAGCGAGAAGAAGGAAAAAAAAATATGTCAGATATAAAACCAGTCTCTCAGCATTTTATAAAAAATGTTGGCTTATATCCAGCACTGGAAGGCGGTAGTAGGTATGGTTTCTTTGTAGCTAAAGAAATAAACAGAAAAAGAAAAAGGAAAACCTGCCCTATTTTCATCAAATGAAGTATTTCTCACGTTATACATTAGATTCTAGGAAAAGCTTTGTTGTTGTTGTTTGTTTTTTTGTAACCTGCTGGCAGGATCTAAAAAAATGTTTCTAGCAAGCCACACTGTTTTTCTCTTTGGGGGCATGATGACACTGGTTTTGTAGCAAAACATTATCTGCTTATTAAGCATTTCTTTAAAATCCTGAATAAGCGGCTCTTTCAACAGTTTTTGTTCTACATGTTAAACATTTCATTGCAATTTGAGCATCAATTGTGTGTGCATTTTGTGTGCGTGCCTGTGTGTATGTGTGTATGCGCGTGCGTACGCATGCGTGCATGTGCATTTTGATAGGAAGGAATGAAAGAGGATATGTGTAAGAATTCTGGGTTTCTTTAAAAAAAAAATGAATTCCTCACAATTATGGATGGGGGTCTCCACGCAAGTGATTCCAGTTTATTGCATACAGCAAACCAGAAGTCGTCAGTCTTGAGCAGCAGGGGTAGGGAGGTGGTGTCGGAAAAGACAGGGAATTTGGTGTTTGAGTAGATGAGATTTAATTTTCAGGAAACATTTCACTCCTAAGATGGATAGCAATGCAGTGTCGGCCGTGACCTCCTCATGTCAATGTCATCGTGCAAGCGTGGCTAAAATAAGCCTCAAAATAAAACAAAGAAACCTCGCCTCTCAGCCTAACACGACATCTTCACCTACAGTAGGTACCATCCAGAGCCTTTAAGAAATGGTTTGCGCCTTTAAATTTTAGCTTTCAGGAGGGGAGGAGGGGGTGAAGGAAAAAAAAACCATTCTGCATTTTTCTATGTTCTGAACACGTACGGCATGCTGCTGTAAGTCTTCCTGTTATCTAGGTCAGGAGGGATACTAAAGATAGCAGTGCATCATTCTCCGTGGTCACAAAACATCCAGAGAAACTCACTATCCATTTATTTTCCTGCACTGATTTTATTCTGCTTCTAATTCTAAGAAGACTCATTCACATCTTAGTACGGTTCTGTCTGAGACGGTATCTGCTGTTCTGAAGTGCAGATACATTTAGCAGGATACATTTACGCTGCTTGTGGGTAAAGGTTATAGAACGGGTACAGATGGCTGATCATTGTTCTGCAAGTCTGCCGGCACCATTTAGGATTTAGAAAAATCATCTGCAAATGCCATAGCCAACACCAGAATCATTCTTTACTTTGCAATAACCTCAGAATTATTATTTTTTGCTTGTTTTGTTGTTGTTTTTACTAGCAATTCTATGACATGAACAGTCTATAAAATGTACCAGGAACAGATACGTACTGTATTGAAAGCTTTCTTCCTGGAGAAGACAGGACAGTATTTACCCGCAGCTCATTTTCTTCTTCCTTAGCAAAAGGATGGCTTGAATCTCAGAGGCAGATGCGCACGCTCACTGTACAGCAGCTCTACTAAAGTGTCTGCAATGCCTTCTACTGCCTGGTTGCAGAATTTGGAGTTGGCTAACCAGGGTTTAGTGCTTGAGCTCATCTTGCATCACCAATTGATGACAGTTTTCTTTGTTCCCTCCTACCCGGTAGAACCAAGACTCTGAGGCGGCTATGCAATGTCACTTACAACATTAATCAGATACCGCATTTAAGGTGAGCTGTCCCCTGCCTCCTCCTCCTCCCCGGTGCCCGGGGCTGCATGCAGCTCGGGTCTCACTCCTGCGAGCTGAAGATGGCAGGCAGGATTAGCGGTGCTTGCGCTGTGTGCATGCTGTGTGTAGAATTCATTACACGTTGCCTAGTATTTCACATGTGAGTATGTAAATGCTCTGGGTTCCATATCATCTGTTAGCGAGGACTCGCTTTCGCCTCATTACAGCCCTCAATATTTCGACATCACCTTTCATTTGCGATTCATTTGCCTCTGCCTGGTAGCTTTTCATCACATGCAGAAAATACAGTTTTACCTTTATGTGTGTGTGTCTGTGTGTTTGTGTGTGTCTGTGCCTGTGTGTCTGTTAACAAAGCCAGATCAACCCCATAAAACCCTAAAGCCAGCACCACCACCAAAACTATGCTACCAGATGGTGTCTCCTCTTTCTTCTTGCAATTGCTGTCTTTTTAATAATGTATGTTGTATTGTTAATTAATGTGAATATCAAATTAAACACTTGAAACTTACATGTTTATTATGCAGGTAGGAGGCAAGGTGGAGTCTATTTTTAACTCCGTCGTTGTCGTGGTGGTGGTGGTGGTGTGCACACAACTTGAGTTCTCCTCCGATTTGTATTTTCAGTGCTGGTGCTGGTGGTTTGATTTTCAGCAAGTGTGCCGGTGGCCTCCGGAGTGGTCAGCTCGGGGCTCTGAGGAGGAGCCAGAGGGAGGCTAGCACATCATCCCTGCACGCAGCCTCGGAGACACGGTGGAGGAGAAACTTCCCTTTCCAATCCTGTTTTCCTGTTGATAAATTCACTTCTCACGACCCCAGTACATTCCAGCTGTTCTGCGTCTGATTTTTGGTGCGTGTGACAGTTGCATGTGAAACTTGTGAGCAGGAAGACGGAAAAGGCTGTTGGTCTCCATCGCCTTACATAAAAATGGCCGAGGGTCTTGTCTTGCTAGCTGTGCATTGAGTGATACGAACAGGTAGGTTGAAATTTGCATGTTTTATAGATTTTTTTTTAATGAGCCCTGCGGTCAAAGCATTACATGTATTAAAATATGACTTTCAAAATAAAAACTAAGATAGTTGTAATCTTTGGGGGAGGGGGAAGGTATTATACACGATAGGTCTCCTGTTCAGATACTATATAAACATAGGGCTTTTATAAACTTAAAAAAATACATGCTGTAAAGGTGAGACGATTCCTTTTTTAAGTTACGTGATAGGTGTGGCGCCACCAGACAAAAGAGTATTTTTTGAAAAGTCCAGTGATTCAGCTCCATTCTAGCTTGAAACTAAAAACAAATGGGTTTTCTGGAGATAATTTCTGAAAGTGCAAATAAGCTTCGTAAAAAAACATAAAAAATATTTAAAATTTAAAAAGCGGTCTTTAAGCGGGTTAGGTGGAAGGATGAAAACAAAAATTTATATTCTTCCAAAATGAATTTCTGACAGTAGATAGGAAAAATACACTATTTGGATAGTTGTCATTGCGGGTGGGGTGAGGACTTAGAAGTTTGAAAGGGGGCAAATATTAAATTTGAATGACCCTCAGAAGAAATAAGAGTTTCACCAAATGAAATTGAGTCCCAGACCATTCTATTGTCTTCTGTAAGTGCTAAATTCTGTCATTTTTTTCCAAAACAATTCCATAAGCTCTTTGAGCTGAACTTCCATATATATATACACATATATATATGCATATATATGTGTATATATATATATACATGTGTATATATATATATATATGTTTTAGTTTCAAATTAACATTGGGCCAGGACTTGTTTCCTTGGTAACCATACTGTACTTAAAAATGCAACAAGAGATATGCAAAAAGAATTTTTTTCTTAAAAAAGGAAACGAATATTTAATGAAAATTTTACAGTTCTCTTTCTCTCACATAGAACCTGCAGTGGTAGTAAACGTTTTAAAAAGGCCGTTTGTAACCTTCCAGATCAAGTCATGTTTCTCAATACATAGAGGAAGCTTAACCAGTAACAGCTTTTTGTACCTCACCTCCTTGGTACTCAGTGCTTTCAGAATTAAGGTTTTCTTTGTAATATGCTCCAGAACGCAGGTCAAGGTTTGTGCTCAGGAGTGTCATTCCATTATCATGAGTTCACCGGCGCCTCTAAAACAAAAGGCATTTCAGAAATCCCGAGAATCAGAAAGTGCTGATGTTTCTAATTTCTTCCACTGGTAACCTCCATGCTCCCGGTAGAGAAGGGCCCAGGCCCAAGTCTTCCATCCCAATGACAAGAACACATTGAGCTTTTATGGGAGCATCTTTGTCGGTGTGTTAGGGAGAAGCTTTTCTGTCAAACCTAAGGCCTCCCCAAGGTTTGCTGCCACACGAAGAATGTTGAGTCTCCTGACCTCTGGGCCAGTAGTTGCTTTATTCCAGCAGTCTGTCAAGATTCTGCAGTCCTTTCTATACAACCAGACCTCTGATGGGTTTAAAGAGTGAGTTTTGTTGTTATTGTGGTGTTGTTGTTTTGAGACCAACCAAAGTATGTTGCTTGAAATCCCGTCTGTGGCTTAATTTGTCTCAGAGTGGTTTGGTGCTCTCGGCTAGCTATCAAATGTTCTTTCTGCAACACTTTTTTTTTTTTAAGCTGCTTGGAAGCCATTTTCCTTCCTGCCTTTGATTTAAAATGCCTAAGTACATTCTGAATACGGTATCTACCAGACCTGGATAAACTGAAGGGAAATGTCAGAAGGCTGATTCAGGGTTGCCTTTTATTTTAGGACCAGTAGTGTTAGCAGTTCCAGTAAGGTCGGGCTAATGGCCACTTGCTTTTGAGCCACTCAAACCTGGGCATTTGTGATTAAAACACTATTGCTTTTCAGAAAGATTGTAACTACAATGTTTTCTACTTTGATAGGCCAGTACAATTGAGTTGTTTGAACCCATTTTGAATCTTAATAACAAGATCAGATGATACTGTACAGTTTTTTTTTTTAACCATAAAACTAGTGCCTTGTAGACTCAACATTTAGAGACTGCCGATCCTTTTGTTTATAACCCAAGCATGGTTACGTCATCTTGCAGATTTTCATACCCAATGATTTTTTTTTTTTAAATGGCAGCCTCCATTTCTGTTGCTCTTGGTTGTACCGGAAAGAAATTTTAAATAACAATTTTCTGGAGCCAGGAAGACCACTGGGGATGTCTATTGTGCCACTGTCGCTTTAATATCTAGACCAGTGAATGGAAGAATAATTCGTTATTTATTACTTGGTTATGTTTCGCCTAATCCTTTGCCTCCTTATGCCACAGTACGAAGCACAAAGCTTTTCCAAACTCACCCATCTATGATTATTACTGGATTTCCTAGATGAGCTGAAAATGTCTCCTGCTGATTTGAAGATGGTACTTAGCCTCTCTCCACGGTTAAAAGACTGCTTGGTCCATTTACACTTTTGGCTAAGGTGTTTGCCCAGGGCAGGCCAGAGCAGGTGTGACAGGAAGAGTGTGCAAACTGCTTTGTTCTCACTAAAACGAAAGGGGAAAATGTGTGGCTTTCTGCTTGAATGATTTATAGTATAAAATTCTCAGCTCACCTACCCCCACCCGTTGAAAAATAGAAAATGTTTCTCCAGGCTTCAACTCAATGGGAATACAAGATTCCATGCCTCACTCTTTACCGTGGCTCTGTCTCTCCTTAGATAGGCCTGTAGCCCGAGCACAACTTGGGACTTCTGCTTGACATGTGAAAAAAGTCTAGAACCTTTTTGCTTTATTACTAAGTCATTCAGAGCCCTTAAGTTCTTGGAGTCACGTGGCCTATGTTTAATAGCACCCTTTCCACAGAACATGCTGTCCTTAACAGTTTGCCTTTCTTTCTGTTTGTGATCTTAGGATTTGAACTCAGGGCCTCAACTCTTGCTAGGCACACACACTACCTACCACTTGAGCTACTCTGCCAGCCCTTCTTTACATTTTTGAGATAGGTCTTAGCTTTTTGCCTAGCTTGTGCCTGGACTATGATTCTCTTACTTTACTCTTCCTAACGTAGCTGGGATGATGGGCTTGAACCATATCCCCAGCTATTGGTTCAGAAAGAGGGTCCCATGAACTTTTTATCCAGATTGCACCCCAAGTAGCTAGAATTTCAGGTATGAGCCACCACACCTGGCTATAGCTTTCTTGATAATTAAACACCCCACGTATTTACTGTGTACCTGCTATGTACCAGAAGCAGGAAAATACAGGAATGAACAAGACCAGAATCTGCTTCTTACAGGTGGGGGACCAGGCAAAAATAAACATGCAAGCAAATAAAAAGACAAAGGCCAAGGCAGAAACTAACGTAAAAATATGTCCTGTGAGAGCAGTGCATTGTGGGAGGACAGCATGGAGGATGGCGGGTTAGAAGGCCTCCCGTGCTTCCAGAGTGGGGATCACGTGTAGCGGGGAGGCCCACCAGCTGAGGCATGCTCAGCCCAGCCGCGAGCCTGGCTTGCTGGTGGCGTGTAGCCAGAGACGTCTGAGATTCATGGCTGAGCCTTCCGAAGGCGGCTCCTAGGGTGACCCCAGCCCCGAGGTAGCACCTGTGGGGACCCAACCTCCCCCCCAAAAAAAACCGCCTCAGGAAATGAGGGCCATTCAGTTCCCCAGGGTGACGAAATCCTGGCCCAGACTCAGCGCCAACCCAAGAAAGGCCTTTTGGCACAAAGAAAATTCTGGAAAGCTTGATTTGTTTTTCCTGAGGATTCCAGGGTATGGCAGAACACTGAGGCATCCCTTGATATTTTGTTTCCACAGGTGAGAGGGCAGAAGGCGGCTTTGTCCTGACCCCCTCCCCCACTGCGGCCTTGCACAGCTTTCGCCAAAATGTTTTTGGCTCTGCAGATATCTACCGGTTGATGTTTTGTTTTTGTGTTTTGCTGGCATGGGTTCGAATTCAGGACCTGCTCACACTTGCTAAGCAGATGCTGTACTGCCTGAGCCACTCCACCACCAGCTAGCTCTCTTTTCAACAGAGGCTTTGATTTATGTCCAGGATGGCCTTGACTGAGATTGTCCCTCTCCCGCTTCCTTTGTCACCGGACAATGGGCACAGCTGACACAGCCGTGGGTCAAGGGGAGTCTCACAGCTTTTTTAAAATTTTTATTTAGATGACAGCCTCCGCCCCAGCCTTGAATAGTGATCCTCAGCCTCCATCTCTCAGCTAGCTAGGTTTACAGCTGTGAACCACTGTGTTCCTAGCCTGTGGGTGGTCTCTGAAAGACCCCACGGCTTATAGGGTGTTTTTTCTCCATTACAGGAAATGTTGCTTAAAAGATTCTTAAGGGCCAGTAGGACCCTTTATACCATTCAGGGAAGGCTGCAGATGAAGGCCGGGAAGAGGCCAGGGGCTTGCCACACGCGTTAGGCCATAAGGTTCACCAGAGCCTCTGACCATTCCAGGAGCACTTCGTTAAACGGATCTGTATTTTCGCAGAGTTTGCTTTGCTACATCGAGGTGTCTTGGCTGGCTCATCATAGTTTATTTGTTTTAGGGAAACATTCCAGCCTTTTCTAGACTATGGCCCAGGCGTTAGGAAGCAGTGGTGAGCCACAGAAATGCAGGAGAGCTTTTGCTACACGCCTAGCAACATACTGATGCCGAGGGCTGAAACAATCCGAATGAGAACGCAACATAGAGCGTCTGGTCTAATTCTAACAGAGAATGCGAAGGTTGCAGAAGTACGCTTCCAGGCTCCGCTCAGACCAGTTGGAGTGACCCAGGGTTACCTGTGGGTCGTCAACGTGTCATTTAAATCCTGTACTTGCAGATTATAACACCCCACCCCATTGGGAGCTTTTCTTAGGTGGTAATGGGTAGTATGGCATGGGCAGAAGGAGTTGTGTTGTATAATAAATGAGACATCATCACAAGAAAGGAGGGATTTGAACAAAGTTCTCCCTTAGTACAGGGTTGGTGAGTTCAGGAGACTGGGGTTTCTCTAAGACTGCCCTCTGTCTCTCTGTCTGTC